AGCCCAGTGGGTTAGACGTAAGGAACCACGCCCGCCGCCGGCGGCGGGCCCCGTTAGCCATCGATCCACGCGCAAAATGTCTCCGACAGAGGGTGACTTTATACTAGCGGGTGCTCAATAGCACCCGCACCTACCCCAAGTGAAGTGACCCCCAAGCACAAGCACAAATAGGACTTTACCCAAAGTCAACGGACTACCCCTCCGACCTCCCCACCGACACATAGGATCGTCTCTACCCACACAAGTGCCCAAGGGTCAACGACATGTTGGAGCGTTTTTAGCAAAGCGAACAAATTATACTAAATACGCGAGAGCTAGACACCTGGCTAGATTCACTATACGAAAGACCATGGCCGTAGATACCCTAAGGGGGCTCAAGGCCCCCGTCGGGAGACCCATAAGGTCCTGTTGCGGCCACAACTTGGGCCACCAACCACTGAGCAAGCTCAGCGGATGAGGCGGAAGGGCAACCCCCGACACCATGGTCTTAAGTCTAGCTGCACTAACCGGATGACTACTCTTATATGACTACTTGAACTAATATGCTCGACCCGACCAAAGGAATAGGAAGTGTAAGACAAGCATAATAGAAAGTGAGAGGGAACAGAGTGAAATGAGATATTAGAAAGGAAGATAGAATTTAAGAAGTCAAGAAATAGAAATGTAAGGAATAGAGGTGTAGAAGTAGAGAAGAAATAAGGAAAGAGATAAATAACAAAGTAAAGAATTACAGATGAAGAAAGAAGGAAGTAAAGAAGAAATAAATATAGAAAGAGAAGAAGGTTGGAAAGGGATAAGAGGTGGTGATTCCAAGAGACCAGTATAGGAGACCGGCTCGAGGAAGAATGAGCGCTCCGGGTCCGGGCACTGCCTCGATCACTTCTCCCACCAGCTGCCTGCTCCCACTCACAGAGTCCTGCGCGACGAATTTGCGCGCACACAATTTTGGGCAACTTCCAGTATTTCTAAATATGCTTGGCCGGAATTTTCGATTTCTAAGTGTTAATATTTTACTTTATTGATTTAATTCATTATTTTAATGTTTGAAACACCTGATTTATTAATATTTTAATTTGAACGTAATTTATTTTCGATATTCTACAATTTCAATTCAATTTTTATCTACTCCGTATATTCTGAGAGATTTTTATGTAGCCTCTATTTCATATTTTGAATAATTTCTGAAAGTAAATGAAGATCCACTAATAGTATTTGGAAACTTTGAGAAAATTGAGAAGAAGAAGATAGAAAAGAGTAAATATTTCATATAGGCTCAAACACAAGTTTTTCGTTTTTCAGACGGGTCTCATGCGTGAGCACTAACTATATAATCTGTTTAAAATAATCAAGGAACATGTATTTTTATTATAATTTACACTTCGACTATTTTTAAGTTTATTATTATTTATTAATTTATTAATGCGAGATTACAACTGCTAAATAATATAAACCCGAGCTGAAATACATACCTTATTTAATATCAACAATTAATACGTAAAGCATATATTTATTTAATCAACTGCAGAATTTTTATGTAATAAAATGTTATAAAATAATTTTAGATCCTTTTATTGCACACAATGCAAGTTGCCTTTCATGATGAACGTTTGGCGCCAAATCTAGCTCGGAAACAAGCGATGTGACGGTTAAAACATAAGATCATCACAGCAGCGAGTAGTCAGCCAATCAGAGTAGAGACGGTCTAGTGACATGCCGGTCCAAATGCGCATAACCGTTACTGGCTATATCTCGTCTATTTGTACCATGGTTGATACTACTAATTCTGACTCAGGAATAGAGCTACTATCAGAGGCTAGGTAAGTGAAAAATTTACTTTTTCACTAACATGACTTCATAATTATTTCCTGACAGTGTCCTTAACAGCTAGCAGAATTTTCACAAATCAACAAAACGTCTGATCCAAAACGCATGACGTTTAAGCTCAGCAATTCCTTCAACCAGAAATGAACCAGGTATTCCGCTAATGACAATCTGTCAAGTTTAAAATAACTGCTGTGAACTCATCTATAAAGTGACTAGTTAAAACCTATCATGCCTATGAATCAGCATCGCGAAAAAGCGTAAGGTACATATATGCTGGTCGAACTTTGGGATGTTAAATTTTACCTACACTGATGGATGGGAGCAGGAAATTGTAAGTAGAATACGTTTCAATTTAAATATAAGGACTGATAACAGGAAGAAATTTATAGCAGTAGAAAATTTCGGTAAAAATACTTGTTTTATTACATCGATAGGATATTTTGTTACTGATATTAGCAAAAGAAATCACAAGTTATGTGTTTTACGAAATTGTCGACAATCCATTGGGGCTTTTTTTTAATCATGATAATGACAATAATTAACCGTATTCTTAATTCCTCCATTTACGAATCACAGAGAAACTCTAATTTGTATCCTTTGCGTTAAGATCGTTTTGAACTAAACTGCGGAAATAAAATATATATATTTGTTCTCTTTTTCTCATATATAATTTCTTTTCTCGTAAAGCAGTAGCGTTAACACATTTAGAAGTTTCTTGAATATATAAATACAAGGGGTAGGGGAAACGTTACGGCTAAGAAAATGTACATCAATAATAACTATTATGTATATATAGTACAATAAAAAAGCGGATAGTAATAATAATTGTAATAGTAATAATCTGAAATATGTACATACGCAGGCGCGCATCTGCGTATTTTATTCACTGAATTACATTAAACTACATAACACCAGTTATTCTTTACATACACAAGTAATACACTATTATAAAAAAAAAACGTAACTACTACTTACAGTGTTTCCTACTTACATTAGAAGACATACATACAATACGTACACTGTTATCATTTACAAACTCGCAAATCGCTGCAAAGAAATGGGCTTAGAGGCGTTCTGAATGATTTTATTTAAAAGTAGTCAGTATATGATACAACTGCATTATCCGCCGTTAATCCTGGTTAATCGTCAGCTAAATAAAATTAAAGAACCGCACGCCCAAGCACGAGTATCGACTGCCAATTGGAAAGACAATAACTACTATACATTAGTACGTATTCGATACATACGCTAATCAAGTGTGGCCGATAATAATGCATGAGCGCACATCCGTTTTAGGTATAACATATAAGATATTGAGAATACATATAGATTTCCCTGAGACTGATTATAACGATTAAAGTATGTATACAGCATTTAAATAAAGCACATAGTTTTCAGCGTTATGCAAGCCGTAAAAAAAAGCTTTGTGATGAAAAAAAGGAGCTTCTAAGCCACCTTTTATCAGACTCTCCTAATTTCTTTTTGGAGTAATCATAATCCTCTATCATCAAATACGGTATAAACCGTGAACGAATAAGTACGGAGATCGATATTACGATACGTTGTCGATCTAATCCGTATCTACGATGCGGATGCCTTTAATTGCTTCGTTTAGAAAAAAAATGTTCGTGACTCGAATTTGATTGAGGTTTTCTTTGTTCTTATGTAGATCTATCCCTCAGATGATAACTGCTTGCTCAAAAAATGTATGTCAATTGTTCATAACGAAACTTGCCTCTTTAGTATAACCGATACGCGAATAATTAAAACTTAAAGTATCGTTATATCGGCTGCACACGTTATTGCACACACAATATTATTCGATCGACATATCGCGATACGTTGTGATCCTAAACAATCATGAACGTTCACTCTTAATTGCAACTCACCTATAATTGCGCTATCAGTCCACCCCAGAGTATTAACACGAATAATCGGACTCCAAATTGCACTTCCCAACTTATAAATGCCACGTAGCATCTAAAGGTATATGTACATTTAAAAACATAAAGACCGAATATAATTTACATATAACATCGTAGATTAATATTAAAAGTGAAAGACGAAGAAAAATATAGAATACAACTCAGAAGTGGTAACGTGGGTAGCCGTAAGCTCATTTTTATAATACACGCATTCTCGCATAACCGTATAATTAATAATAACCCAGTGTTCATAAACTTAATAAAACGGTATTGGCTCACGCAACCTATCCAAATGTGAGGGATCACCGGCATTATCTTCAATCGAGAATTATTTGTCAATAAATTGGGGCACTTATTTATAATTTTCCCATTATTCTCCGAAACGAAATATACATCTATCGTGTGGTTTCAATTGGCATCCTTAAAGATGTTACCAAGACTTCTAATATAAATATGAGACTAACACGCGACTCGATAAAAAGTAAACACAGATAAGACTCCCCATCAAAAGGACTCGCAAACTCTATTGTCATTACGGCAGTTTTCCTCTAAAAGCGTTAGATTAAAATTCATGGTTAACCAGCCATTCGAGGCTCGTTATTAAAATATCATCACCCTATGGATATATCTCCAATAAACACTCTAATATAATGTCACAGTTTGCTGCTTTGTTATCCTCACTCGTATTCCCATTAAATTAATCCACGTGTCTTTATTTTATCTTGGCATCGAAATTGTACCGCACGCGATTGACGGAATTTTATATATTTGCAATTAGATTAATCGTTATTGAATGCAGAGATACAATGAAACACACGAGCTAGAAAAGAGTTTTAGTGTTTCGGAAGCACTGATAATAAATTCCATTACGTATTGGTTCTCCATCAAAAACGATTATATTAATTATACATATAGGTTTCTTTTTTCTTCCCAAGTGAGAATGTCGATCTGGTCTGTGCATACGGTACAACTGCGAGTTATCCTGCCATGGTTAAGTTCCTGATCTTAGTATCGACAGGGACAGTGTCGATGTAGATTAATACACAATTAAAATAGTGAAATTGCCAAGACCGGCTCGAGAAGACGTCTTATAGCGATAATAATTACTTAATCTACTGAGTTACGATTAGCTTGCCGTGTTCTCACTTGTCTCTCGCGTTTAAGCGAAGCACTAATCATAGTTCTGTTTTGATGCTTCTTAGAGGTTTCCTTGTCTAATATGGACGTTGTTGAACTGCTGGCCTGGAGCGAAGTGTCACTCTCCAGCAACGCCTCCTGTCACCTCAGACTAATCACGACCCTTTCGACGTTTAGCAGGGACTTGACCTTGGCGTTATATTTTATAAGAGTTACTTTCGAACCCCGCACGTTGATTCGCTCACCGCCACTCAGCAAATGCAAGCATCTTGACTGCTCCAGGAAATCAGGAAGTTTCAGTTCCTTCATTACATCCCGGTGCGCCACCGCTGGTGGCCCGGAAGGAGCTTTGGGATTCACTTGACGAAGTAATGCATCTCTGCTCTTCACTCGTAAAGCTGCCATCAAGTCTTGTAGTAGGACCCATTTTTCAGTATCGTTTGCAAGGGAAAATAATACAGGCATATTAATGTCGCTCACTTCCATCTCGACTTCGTCCAATTCTGGCTCAGGATTATCTAACGGTACATCCTCTAATGGGTTGTATCCCGTATCTTCTGGATCTGAAATAAAGACGGTAAGAAAAATCATAATGCTTTGCTATTCAAAAGTCTAGTAATGACTTTAAGAATTGCGAAAATGGCCTTACCAAAAATTGATGCTGGACCTCCAAAGAACCAGGGCGTGGATGTACGGCCTTGAATATCATCTAAATGTCGTTCGAGGATAGAATAAGCATCGGTGTCGGCTGATAACATCAGCGGTGTTTGTCCCGAATATGTAGCCAATAAGGGATCAGCGCCATATGAAAGTAGTAGTCGAACGAGCTCAGTGGCACCACTTTCTGCTGCTTCGTGAAGTGGTCTGTAACATGCAATAGAATTATTGATTATTGTAATGTTACTAGATATCGCATTAAAAGAAAAATTAAAATAAATGATATCCATTCAATTACCTGATTCCACCATTTGCACTCTCACTGGCATTAGCTCCATACGCAAGAAGAAGTTTAGCGATTTCAAGATGGCCTCTGGAACATGCTTCATGAAGCGGCGTGTACCCTGCATTGTCCTTAGGACTTGGCGCACTATTCAGTTTTTCTAAGCAATAGGCAGTTACATCCTGAAAAAGGGAACGTAGATAAATAATAACAATTTAAAGAAAATACGATGCGTTAATATAAGCTTCACTAACCGTGTAGCCGAGCCTGGCAGCTCGATGAAGAATAGTCTCCCCAACACCTTTCTTAATGACCCACGTTCTGATTTCTGACTGAATATCAGCAACGCACTCTGGACTGGGCCTTGGTAAAATTTGCTGTAAAAACAAATAAAATAAATTGTAGGATTCCAAGAAATTAAGGAAAATAATATACAGCAATTTCCGATGAGAATGAATCTCGCATCATCATGCTTACTCTTTTTCGCTCCTTCGTTATGGTCTCATCTTTCTTTAAAGGCTTTTTCTTTTTGCGAATATAATCAAAACCAGAACGGAATTTCCGACGGCCGGTTCTTAGTTTTAATTTCTTCTTATTCGGCGCCTCAGCTTCGTCAGCATTATCGACCTCAGCCTCGTTGTTTTCCATTTCTTGTACATCCTGTGTGTCATCCTGAGCTTCATCTTCCACTTCCTTCTTTATATGTTTCAATTGCTTCTCCGCCAGAGACTTCAATAGATCCTTACGCCTTTTTGATGACAACAGGTGACGTTTAGAATTTATTATAGCTTTGTGACTTCTTAAGATCCCAGCGTTTCTCAGACGGGAGACAACCTTCTGCTTGAGAGTGCGAGATCTACCCAGAATACCCTCCTGAGCTTCGTTCTGCGAATCATCATCTTGCGAAGTATCTCCTGCGTGATTTTGCATTGGTGGAGCTGAAGCTGGTCTATCCTCACCAAACACTTCTCTGATAGTTGTCTGCTTCTTTAAAACCCGGGTTTCAGTTCTAGTTCTGCTTTTTAAAACGAACGTCGAAAATTCATTGGGTATAGCGTGATTATTCTTAAATGTATCCCGGAAATTATTAACAGTTTCCTTACGGAAGTAGCCCAAAAGGAAGGAGTCGGTAACTTTAATTGGTTTTGGGGATTTATTATTCTTCAATGGTGATTTTCCTTTTGTCTTTACAGTCGTCTCGTTTGAGGCCAGGAGAGAAGTGAGACTCGGAGTAGGAAGTAACTCTGGTTCGTTGCTACCTTTAGGAAGAGTCTTAGCACCTTTTTCAAATTTATCCTTTGATTTCTTCCTCAGATCTTTTTTAGTAGTACCGACTTTCTGAGCAAGAAGATCCACGATAGAATTATTCTCGGATCGGGTATGTCTTGTCATAGTCTTAGGCGGACAGGATATCGTAGTGGAAGACGTAGCTTCTTCGTCATCAATTTTACTACCAAGACCAGTAATACTGAAGCTGCAATTAGAATCTAGGTCACTGTCTGTCATTCTTTTTCTACTGAGACAAACGTCAGAACTATCCATAGATACTGAAAGTGCTGGTGAGCCAGGATCCAAATCCGGTAATGATGTGGATAACCTATGGAACCTCGAAGGCTTCGAGACTGTTATTAATCTCGTTGGCATTCTTAAGGATTTTTTGTAAACATAAACTTCCTCCTCCCAGCCTGGCCTAAAATCACTCCCATCACCAAACAGCGGCTTGGGTTTAGCTTTCTGCGAGGATCCCCCTTTTGATGATGATAATTTGCACTCTTTTTCCTGTTTGGCTTTATGAGGTGTGGTATCTCTCGATCTTAACTTCATCCCTTCAGTTTCTGTATTCACAGCAGAACGTTTCCTCGCTCGTAATCTATCCGCTACTGTTGATTCCTGTCCAAATTCTGTACTAGCATCACTATCCTCACTAGAGCTTTCACTTCCACTTGACGATTCTAACTTTATTCTACTTCCTCTACGTAATCTTCGCTTCCTGCAAATTATTTCCTCATCGCAGTCGCTTTCATCTCTCTTTGACTTCTTTTTAGCTGTCCTTTGAATAAGTGGCACCTCGTCTGTATCATCACTTGAATTTCTGTTGACGTCCTCACCCTTGACTTCTGATTCTAACAGTTCAGTCTTAACCTCTGTAGTGATCGAGTTCTCCTCTTCCTCCTCTTCCTTCTTATTAGATTCCGTCGGTCCGTTCTTACTACTGGTAACCACCTCTCCCTCTTGTATCTCCTTCTTAATATCTTCCGGTCTGATTTCAAGTTGCGACGTGGAATCGAAATCCTTGTTACTCTCGTTACTTGCGTCCAATTTCGATGGAGCAGTACCATCGGGCTTCTTTCGTCGTCCGCGCTTCTTCATGGCGTCACCGCTGCGCAATTGTTCCATAAACTTATCACAGGTCGCTGCCCACATTGGATCCAGCTCGGTAATCTTGTCATTTTCCTAAAAACAAAAAGAGAACGCTCGTATTCAACTGGAAATAGTCGGAGACACTAGGTTCCTTTCTGTCGCTGGCATTGCAACACTGAACTTATGAAAAATGAATGACGACAATCTCTTAAGTTTACCTTCAACTCTATCTTTACGAGATCCAACGATGATGCCATTCCAATGCACATAGCATCGTTGAGCGGAACGGGCGGTTGAACTTTGGACAATTGCTTCCTGTCCCTCCTCATCTCTTCCAAAGTTTGTCTTTCCAGCACCGGCATTTCTCCCTCGGAATCGCTCTCTCTGAAGTCGAAAACTGATGTCTCGGACGAACTTCGGAATCCGCTTGCACGCGGTGGAACTGTCGATGCTACCGCAGGCGGTGGTACAGGTATGGTGGCAGCTACGGGCATGTTCTCTTCTTCCGTTTTCGAGAATAGACGCCTTCTTAGAGGTAAGCAGGCTGTTTTTTCTCGAGTTAATTTAGGTGGACTCCCTGCGGATGATCCTGACTGTGGGGTGGACGTAGAAGCTGCGCTTTCGACGTCTAAAGTGAAAAAGTGAATTATATAATTATCTCGGACGAATGAGTAGCAATCAATAAAAATTAAAAGAATATTTACCCTTTGGCGTTACAGATATATCTTGAGGAGGGACGATTGTCGGTTTTGCAATAAACTGTCCGGTACCAACCTATGGATTGTAACGATGCAAAGTCAAGTAAGTATACATCAATACATCTTTAGAATTCTAACTATTATGTGATTGCTTGAGATAGGTAATAATATGTAAATAGGTCGTCCAAGAGATGAAATCTGACCTGCTTAAGCTCTGCTTTTGTCCTAATTTTCGCCGCAAGAATGGCAGCAAGACCATCGTCCTTGTCTCTGTGAATCTGATTTTCAGCTCCTCGCGGTCCCAGAAGAGCCTCTTTACCAGGTAGCGTAGCTGATGAATTCACTCGTGAGGCGTACAAGCTACGAGGAGCCTCTTGAGTGATAGAATCTACTGCTCTTGGCACATGGAACTTGTAATGGGGTGGTGTGTTGCTGTTACGTTCAAGTAAACTCGCTGCAGTGAATGGTGACAAGTTGTGTCGTCCTATGTTCGTTTTGGGTTCAACCGGCGCGACAACCTTAAAAAACAACGAGAAGGTCGTTAACTAACCGTTAACGCTAAGAGTGTGCGATTCGCAATATAATTGCTGAAACGCTTAGATCTCCGGAAGTACTCACCTTATTTTGGAAACTTTGCTGATTGTGATTGACAAGGATGGGTTGTTGGCTATTATGCTGTTCCTCTCTTTGTTGTTTATTCTCAAGACTATTTCTGAGCAAGCTCAGCACCCTTTTATCAGCCCCTGTATTACTAGGCGGATCCGTAGTTGGGACTGTACCACCGTGAGACATTCTCTGCCCGTGACGATAGCTCTGGTAAGACGCTTGACTACTGGATGGCTGCGGATTGCTGTGAACACCTGGCGATTTCAACACAGCATGATTGTAATGAAGTGAACTTCGTGCAATTTTGCCATCGGGATAATTTCTTTTATCACAGAAAGCTTGGTATCTCGGAGATTCTGATGGATATGCGTTCTCAGGTCTTTGGTCGTAACCACTGCTGACAGTAATAGCACCATTGGGAATTGGACCGGGTAGACTCATTTCCTGTCGCTGTTGTTGCTCGTGCAATGCGCGGGCCGTCGAAAGTCTTTGCTCTATTTGTTGATCTATCGTCAGTCGCCATGTATCGAGACGTGGTTGTTTGCTGGGCCCCGTATAGACGGGTTCGGCAGTTCGCTTGGCAGGAGACCGAGTTTTTGAATGAGCTGACTGTGAGAATTTACTTTGCTCCATGTAATATTTAGTAGGATCCGGAGAATATTCCTGTACAGGAATGGGCGTCCTCGTTGGATCGACCGGAGGATAACGCGTCGATCGTGATGTACTATTGGGGTGATACGGCGTAGTCTTGTCGTAGACCGGTGTGGGCAGTGAACTCTTCTTGAAAGTGGACATATGTGGCAATGGTGCTGCAGGATTCGTATGCGGTGCCGGGGCATAGAATTGCTGAGTGGTGCTCCTTCGCAAGGGGTTCTCGTGACTCGACTGACCAGGACGTTGTAACGGTGTGGAGTTAAAATCCGGAAGGAAGTCGACCTTTGGTGCGCAGACCGTCTGAGGGGTAGACACCCTGACACACGAGGTCGGATTTCTCGTGCTGCTGTTCGCATTGCGTGAAGGGTCGAACGCAGAATAGGAAGTAGGTGGAGGTGGATGTAGCTGTGGAGGTAACATGGCCCTATTATTGCTACTTCTAATGCTCGAACTGCTAACTTGATGCTTCTCGGTTCCATTAGCATCAAAATCATCCTGCGCAGTGGAATCGGCTGGAGTCTTTACAGTTTTAACTGAGAGATCCAGGGGCGACTCCCTCTTCCTAATTGGTACTCCATTAGTTTGCAGCGTGGTTGCCATTGTCGCGACAGGAGCGGATTGACTTGCTGATGAGTTAGCATACGAAGTCCCTGCTGGGTATTCCTTATATGCATAATTCTCGGCAGCGTGTAATGCCGGATAGGCGCTACTCGACGAACGGTTCACAGGATTGGAAGACGAATAGGTGTGCACGGGAGTTGCAGCGGGTACCGATGGTCTTGTAGCACCGATCGATGTCACCGTAGTGCTGGAAGAATTACTCCCATGATGGCTGGGTGCTATCGTCGTCGCATATTGGGGATAACTCTGCTGTCCGCTGAACCTGGGATACGTTGAACTGGCGACTGTAGTGGTTCTTCCGTTAAGTGGCATCGAATGATTCATCGTAGATGCCAGGGGGGCAGCTGAGTAGTCGTTGACCCGTTGGGGGACTAGGGAAGGTTGCACCGGGGAACTCTTAGTGCTATTTATCGATGGCGTCCTTTGCCGTTGGGCTGGCTGAGCTTTGGTAAGGGGCTCCCGTGAACTCCTGTTGGAATGATAAGACGACAACGCCGCGATAGGAGGCAGGTTGTGAGTATTGGAGCTCCTCTGCATAGGAATCGACGTTTGATAAGATCCATACGCCGGTACCGCTTCCACCATCGAGTTCCTTTTCCCGTCTGCTCCGTTGTACGTTATCGGCTTGGCCTGACTTCCGTACGTCGAACTATTGTTCAGCGAGGTTGGCGCCTGTGGAACCGACGGTACCGGCACGGCTGGCGCGTAAGATTGTGATCTACTCGGTTGCGAGTAGTAGCTGCCTTGTGCCGGATTTTTTTGGAAGGAATGGTAAGATTGAGGAGGATAGGGACTGGCGTAGGAAGTTGTTTGATAATGCTGCGAGGTCGCTGGAACAGGATAGGAGTGCGCCGACGATCTCGGTGGCGGCGGATACGTGGGAGAGTGTGGCTGGAAAGTGTGAGGTGAGGATGGGTGATGTGGGGACGCATGGGGATTGTGTAGAGAGGACACGTGTGGGGATTGTCTCTGTGGCGAGGGTGTGTGATGATTTGGTTCATGAGGAGACGGGGTATGATAGCCAGTGGGAGGTGGAGGAGGCATGTGGCCAGGACCGAGAGAGTTATGGCTGGAGGGTATGTGTGGCAGGACACGAGGGGGATAAGGACTGCTGTTTAGTACATGGGGTGAAGGATTGATTCGGCTTGGATTTTGCGGTGAAGGAGCGTGCGCCGCAGGTAGATGCGGAGATGGAATGTGCGCCGGAAGATTATGAGGCGAAGGAATGTGACTCGAACTGCTGTGATGCGGACTGCAGGGATTGGTCGAGGAAGAATGCGACGCAGGTATATGAGCTGACGACACATTGGAGGAATGCAGTATAGACGGGGGATTGTGTGTATTCGTCATAACTGCTGGATGACTCTGGGGATGTTGATTGACACTCGGTGCCACGGGATGATAAGGGCTCGGATTGTGTCCTTGGGATGAGGGTACGCCATATGGTGCTGGATGGTTCTGGGAGGATGACGGGGTGTAAGCGGAAGGTACGCGTTGTTCCGGTTGATGGGGAGGGGCTGGTTGCTGCTGAGGAACTGAACTTGCGCTGCTCTGCTCAATTGGGCTGGGCCTTATTGCTGGTTGATGAACGACAGTCGCCGATGGCGGCGCATTTGCTGATTGATACGTGGAGCTGTGACTTAGTGGCACCGGTGCGCTCTTGGTTATATCAGGATGATGATATCGAGGATAGTACTGTGTTCTCTGAGCGACCATGGGTGAGCTCGGTGGAGGACGTTCGCTGGCAGATTGATAGCCAGACTGCGACGTGAGGATCTCTGCCGTGGAGAAAGGTGTCCTCGACACGTTGTTCAGCTGCTGATATACCGGCGGTGGGGAATGTGACTTTGGCGGTTGCATCTGATGCAACTGCGGTGACGGCGAGGAACGCTCGGTAACGCCCGCGCTCGACTGTTTACTGATTTGTTGCTGCTGCTTGCCCGGCGGCTGCATCTCCGTTAAATTGCTAACAGGAGTCAACGTGGACGATGACTCCAAGGAGGCGGATCCGTCGTCTCCCGGCCTAGTATCGGGAACCTCGACCCTCGTGGGCTGAGGAGGATAAGGCTCAACCGGTCGAATTTCATTCGGACCTGGTGGATTCCAATAGGAACTTGAACTGGGTCCATTCTCTTCCAACCTGCTATCCGAGTATCTGGAGGTCTCTTGCGTCCCACTAGTAGACACACTCGTCGGAGTACTGGATACTGGCATATCGCCGGCATGATTGTAGCTGGATGGCGTCGATGTTGCAAGATTCTCCGTCGAAGCATTAGCTCCGGCCGTACTCGGCACGGGCAGTCCCTGGAAGTACTGGCGAGCCCCCTCCAACACGTTCGTGAAGCTCACATCCATGTCCCACCAACTGCTAATCTACAACAAATTCAAACGAAAAGAAATTACATACAATTCAACGGAGCGTTAGCTCGTTCTTATATAATAAATTGAAGAAAAGGTGATTCATGACTCATACGGTACCGAGTCCCTTGTACATAGAGTACCTATACTACATATATCACGTCTTACATACGAGGAGACAGTTCTCGCGAACTCGTGTCTATAGGCGACGACAACGACGAAACGGGATCATGGGTTAATTACGCGATGCGTTCAAAGTCGTAATCGCCTTGATTTCAAACGCGCTAATGAGCTGCCAATGCGACGACGTAGGTACCGACCAAGGGTGGAAGCAATTATCAGTCGATACTCAACCGGTTAGTCGAATGTCTCATGACACTGCAAGGTGAGCAAGAAATCAAAATGACAAGGTCTAAGGTCAGGAGAAACTGAGATGAAAACTAACCACAGTAAGAATCACACACGCAACCATGCCGTGTATAGTTTGTTTTGCGAAAGCCGCACTTACAGAGAGCAAAACCAAACGAAGGCACGAACTGGTAAGAGAGCAAGTTAGCGAGGCCATTGGGGTTGGACTGTGAGCAAGGAGGCATTAATCTTCATTGTCTTGTATTTGTCCGACGAGCACACGCAACTTGCTCGTATCGTATTGGTTGGCATCGGACCGACTTGGATCTTGCGTTATTAATCTCTCTGGCTGTGCTCGAGAGCAGATAAGATCATTATACGGAGACACACAGTGTCGGTGTGATGCCAACTTGGGAAGCGAGAGAACCGACGCTCTTGCAAAGTGAACATAACTTTAAGCAGCTGAGATTCCCGTATAGGATAACCCCAGAGTTAATTAAATCATATCTATGATTCTCGAGCGTTGACCATTTCTTAAACTGGGTATATACAGAGTGCATTAGCTAAGATGTACGTTTGTGGTTTGCGGTGAAACGGTGCACGATTTCGAAAATCTGATAAGTATGACCATCATTAATTTTTTTCCATTTCCCACCGTACATGGTAGATAAAACATATTGCAATATAATTTCTTATTACAAGCTGGAATCCCACATATTCCAATTTGGATTCTAGGTGTTACTCGTCATAGATTTTAGAGTCTACGTGTTCTTGATCTTAGCTTTTGCAGCCCTAGCAGTCCAGCATACACAGACGCTCCCGGTTGCAGCTAGGCAGCCCAGCATCCTAAGAGGCTCCAACATGGTTATTGCACCCTTTAAAATAAATCCGTTGTGTCTTCTAAAAAGAAACGAAAGACTTGGAAAAACGACACAGACTGGGGGGTAATCTTTCGACTTTTTTTTAACATATGGCAAGTACATACTCTTTCCCAAACCTCGTTCTACAAGCGTAATTGGGCAAACATAATGAAAATTCTGGCACCGTCCGCGCGTTCAGCTGAGGCGAGCTTATCGTATTAACTTCGCCGTCCTTCCCATACATGGCCTCGACCATAAAACCGCACTTTAACCCCGTTTCGCAGAGACTTGGTATTATCCGATGAATTAAAGTTTTACGGGCGCTTAGTGTTTCCGCATTGAGAGTAAAAAAGAGAGAATACTTTACCTCCGGTAGGAATTACGTTCGATAGCAAGTCTATAGCACGTGTTGCTTTCATTTAACAAATTCGCCCTATAACCGTCTGACCATGTTTAATCATGCTTCGCCGTTAACGCTTGTTGGGGCTTCACTTTCCTACAGGATACATGTTACCACAGTGCATTGCACATTTGTATGAATGAAACTCTATTGGCTAACTTAATAGACGGCGTTGGATTTAGATGTCCCGTCCCGATATCGTTAATTACGAGATTACACGAAATGCCGATATGTACAGCCACGATTACCTCCTGGCTAACCTTTCCAGCGAGTCCCTGCTGTAAAATCATTAGCGCCCCGGTTTATCTCACGATTAAAAGTTTTCCCGTTGTGCATAGAGTCGATAGACGTATCATCGCAGACATTAGAATCGCTGAGTGAACGCTATGGTAATTCGTACAGTCATTCGCGCATCGTACCATCCGAATGTTACTCCTTACTACTGGGATAAGTAGGTAACGTCGTCGTCATCCTCATCGTCATCCACGAGAAGGCGATTCCTTCGGACGATAATAATCCCGCGGTATAACGAGCTGTTCGATATATCTCTGATTGTGATATTGTGCCGATCATGTGCGCACTGCTGTTGCAGTGTTCATTGAGATGTAGAGTCACAATGGGCAGTAACGATGCATAAGAGAAGACGAAGGTATTGGAAAGCTGTAAACATATAGCACAGGAAGCCATAGAATGCCGAGTAAGAGCCGACTATGCCAATAGAAGTGGAAGTGGAAGTGCCGGGCGAGAATCAATATCGCACACCCTTGCAGAAGGGGCAACATGGAGGGATTGCCCCCCAGTCAGCTAGGAGCAATGCTAGCCCCCCCTTTCGTACTAGTTAAAGTACCTCTCTACTTTATTCTCTCTTTTCCGTCTTATTCGATTCTTATTCCAATCCACTGACGTTTTCACGGACGTCTGTCTGTCTTATGGCAGCCACGATTTCACGTATTGAGAAATTCTTACGTGGCTAACGAGGATACCTACTCAATTATTTAAATGTATTGCCTAAGCCTTCTGACCCGTTTTCTTATTGAAATAGAAAAAAGATGCTGACTACAGTCAATATTTGAATATAAAAGCTCTTGGGAACCTGAGCTGCATTTTTTAGCATAGACGTATATGCATATGATGTAGATTTTTGTAGTTCTGCGTTTACTAGGGAAAAACAATTTGCGAGAGTCTCTGTGAATCGAGGCATATATTTAACGTGGGTTTTCTAGGTTTGGATATTTAAAAAAAAAAAAAAAAAAACCAGTACTGGATTCTAACGTTTATTTAGCAATTCTCTGCGCCGCGATTGAATTTCTGAAATGCCCGAGATACGGGGATCAAACGAGATATAGATGTTTCTCGGAAAGCGGGGTCATTTCGGTGACACGAAGCTTACCCGATACACTCAAGGTCTTTCTCTGGAGAAATCATAACGTACGAACCCTTTTAAAAATACTTATGACGGCAAACGCGTCGCAGAAGAATCGTCGGATAAAAGATCTCGAAAAGTTCTATTCGAGCATTCAAACCGAATCCGATGAATAATTTTCAGATGGATAAAGACGATGGCATCGTGTCCGAGACTCTTGGAACTTTCTTGGAGGTTCAAAATCCCGATAAAACCCCACCCTCGTCAATTAAAAGTCATATTCACGTAACGGCAAAGTCAAGCGTCGTTCGTGGAATAAAAAGGCGTCTAAACGTAACATCTTGAGCCAGATAAACCCGCAGTTTAAAAGACGTCGAGTTCGCGAAAACGAGTTTGTCTAGACGCTGGATGCTTGAACACAACGTTGCGCTTGTATGTAAGCAATAAGACTAATGGAAATGGGAGTTATCCGTGTGCTCCGGCTTAGTTCACTCGAGTCTCGCTCAAACGAGCCCGCTACTCCACTCCTTGCCACGCTACTCAGCTTTAGTCTGCTTTCGCAACAAATACATCTGTGACAGAAACAACGCAGCCCGGCCTTCTTCCACAATGAATTTTCTGTCCCTCGCCACTTCGCGGCCATTCGCACCCTCGCATTTTGGCAACGGCAGGAATTGCGAGAAGCATTGATCTTGGTGGCAAGGCCAGAGACAAGCTGACGAAAGTTTTCCGTTGGTTTTTCACTCGATAATCGAAAAGGTAGGACTACGAGACGTGCGAATATACTTGTACAGTCATATAGTATCGAAGGATATACTGTAACATTAATAAAGTAACGTGGTTCCATTAGTTGCTTGACTTTCTAAAAAAATAATTGCCAAATGCTAAAAACATTAATTGCAAGAGACGAGACGAGTTTACCAGTAACGGCATCATTAGTTAGCCTCTTTTAATATTGATCACGCGAGAAAGTTTCAACGGCGCTCACTCAGCAAATGTTGACCCTTTCCAACCTTCCCCCCTGACCCTGCGGCTCTTCTGTTTTCTTCTCATCTCGTACCTCCTCCAATCTACCCTGCCGACTATCCTGTTCCTAAGGGAGAGATTTATCGAGGGATTAAATACCTTGAGCAAACACGCCCTCTTCGTTTCTCGAGTCGCTCTGTGACCCAATTGCTTTGCTAGGATAGAACAATGACTGACCTACCACATCCTAGAAGTTCATCATTCAGTTTGATGACTCAAGTATGAATGATAGATCGTAGGTCGTTTGTAACCTTCAGAAATATATGTTTTTCGCGAAAAAAAAAATTATTCCTGTGTAAACGAGACTGAATAAATATACGTGAGTAGAATAATATCACGTGACTTTAAGAACTTTAAATGAGTCATATAACAGAGATCAACGTTGGCGAGCCTGTAGAAATTCTTAAAATGTAAATTAATAAGGATAAAAGTAATGTAAGCTCATAGTAGCTGGTTGTAAACTTAGCATTCATCCCGTAACGATACTACAAGAAGACATAATAGGGTCAGAGAGAAGCCAAGCGCGAGAAAAGAACCAAGCAACGTTACGCTAATAAGGAGAAGGAAAAGGAAATAGCTTCGCCTATTTCCGTTCTTTAGCACGGATCGACCACGAAGCAGCTTTAACAAGGAAATCGTTACTAAACTCTATTTTCTTTATAATGCTCTGATCGTAATTAAGAGCATTTCCCTCCAGGAAACGAAGTGCCTTCTCTTTATCAACTTTGTTCCCTGAAATTGGCCATTAGCACGATATAAACATTTAAAGCGCCAAGAGGGAATGTTACAATCAAGAAAATCATATACAAACCCGATTCCTATACTTTTTCCTGCGAAAAAAGAAATGCTAGCAAGCAAATGCAAGTCTATCGCATACACGTAGTAAAACATCCGTAGGTTTATTTAACCGGATTCTAACCCCTAGTAGCACAGCGAATAGGTATACCAATCCAGAACAGGGGTTTGTAAACTAAAGAAGGCAGGAGAGGGATGAGTGTAAAGCAGCCCCGCGTAGAAC